CAACTTTCTATTCTATCGAGTGAGAGACAAAAAAAAATGGAGTATTTATTGTTATTTATTATTCGCCAACTAAACTGATTATTTGCTTAATTTATCCGATTATGATATAGTGAAATAAGAAGTACCAATTTTTCGTATTTGCATATTTTTTGACATTGAAGAGACATTCATGTTTGCACATACACACATCTATCTATATCTATACTGATACGTACATTCAAGTATGTGGCAAAAATATTCGTATATGCACACAAACAAACTAATATATATATATATATATATATATATATATATATATATATATATATATATATATATATATATATATATATATATGAAGAAATTAAAAACGATTTTCATTCACAGACGAGTTACTAAGGCTTCGCCATAACCGACTCTTCAGGCTGTCTGAGAATAATCGTTAAATTTACAAAGCATATTAACTATTTTTCATAGATCGCATATTTTGGAGGGGGCTGCGGCAGATTCATGCAACGATTATTATTTGTTGAGTATATATATATATATATATATATATATATATATATATGAATAAAAATAGATCACTTTAAGTTTCCATGTAATAAGTTATTTCACCACAACCCTTTTAAAGGGCTCTAGATCATCAGACTTTTACTTCCAAAAGTTGAAATTTCATTTTCATTTCAACGATGCAGCGTCCCCCTTCTCTTCATGGAAAAAAGAGCGCCAGGACGAAGGAGTGATATCTGTGCATATATACGCATACATACATACATACATACATACATATATATATATATATATATATATATATATATATATATATATATATATAGTGACACCTTACGTATATTCTTGCATGTTTGTGTGTGTATTCAATGAGGCACATAAGGTGAATTAGGATAAATTTCATGTATGATTTTCATATTAATAAATAAGAAATAAGTGTGATTGCACGTTATTTTGAGTTCTTTTTCCAAATTATTTGTAGCCTCACACCCCACAAAAAGCACTGGAACAAATAACGATGCGAGATACATAATAATTGGATGTCGATGTAACAAGAGAAAACCAACCAAAATGGTTTCTACTGAAAGGAAACCAAAATTGTTGTTTGAAAAAATCTAATTCCCCGGAAAGAAAAAGTGTCTTTTGATATACTCTCAGGTCTATCAAAAGATTTGGCCTTAAATATCAAGGAGGAACATTGATTATAGAAAGACAATTATTTATCTTCCCAACAACAAAAACTCTTCCAGAATGTAATGTCCTTTCTAATATTTTCCCTGCCTCCAGTTGAGCATCCTAAATTCCTCAAAAGCTAACAGAAAACTGAGAATAAACTCCTTTCAATCATCAAGGAAGTTTGGAGATGATGATATAATGACGTATGGCTGTTTCATCATTCAACAGCTTAGACAACTGATTTCGCTGCAATGAAAACGTCACTATTAAATATCGCAAGTAAGAAAAAAACAAAAAAGAAAATCATATTTTCTTCTCCCAACAACTGTCTCATATCAAGCTGACCATCTATTACAGAGTGATAGAACAAGTTGAAGCCTTATTGATGAAAAAGCTTTTTGAAAGATGATAAAATGAATATATTTTAATTTTTCTTAAAGTAAATTTTTGTTTCAATAACATTTAAATTTTATGGCTTACGGCTTTTAATATGATAGGTTCCTTGTGCAAGAGGTAGAAGCCTGGCATTACGAAAGAATGCAGTTATATTGAGGTCCTAAGCTCACGATAATTATCACCGATGAAGAAACACTAATCGGTAGATAACCATCTGCTGATAAAAAACTAACTTCATGGAAATAATGAATCGTTGTTAGAAGGCTGTTTGCAAATATGATTGTATTCATTACTTAAACCGAAATGTTATTTTTTAGTGGATACTTGTATTTGAGTAGACGTTACATTTATTTGTTAAACAGAATTGTATTTTCGTCTACCGGCCTGTATTTTCGAGAAATCTTATTAGAAAATTTGTGCTATCCGGCAGGATTCGAACCAGAGGAAACAGTCATTAGATCTGAAGTGCTTTGATCTTTCGGCAACGATGCGCGTCGATAGCGAAGCAAATATCCAGGCCGGTAGAACAAAAATAAATACAGTTTAATAAATAAAAAAATCTACTCAAATGCGAGTAACCACTAAAATAATTTTTCCGTTTAAGTAATAAAATCTGTCGATTAATAAAAAATCCATTCCTTTCTTTGAGAAAGGATTGTATTTGTTTAGCATCTTACTCAGGTTGATGCAACTATCGCAGGTGTCACTGACGACTGTTCCAGGTGTGATATGGACAACCCATGTTTACAATAATAAACAGTTTGCAGTGCCTAGGTTATCAAAGACACGCGAACAGTAGAAGAGAAAATACTAAAAAACGCTTCCACTTATAGGAAATAAGTAATTCAAATCCTTCTTCTGGATTCGTTTCATGTATGATTTTGTCGTTTATGAAAACGTGTGGAGGCTGGTTTTCACGAAAATGTACTATTGAGATCCATACACTATTACGATACAGAGAGGCACAGTCCGATGTTGTATTTTTTTACTGCAAAAATGGAGATAGTGAGATCACCTCAGTTGTTCAATCGAACTATTTCATGTCATTATTCATCAGGGAAGAATAAGAGGAATTTCAGGTGCGATTAAAATAACTCCTTAACCTTAGACATATACGAGTAAATATTGAAAGAAATGCAAACGTTTTTGTCATTTTATGTTCAGTCATGCCCTCTACATTGTTCTTGCTATGGTAGCTGAGTTCTGTCATGCTATTTTGCTTTGGGACTCAAACAGCTCAAGAGAAACAGTGGTCATCTTTGTCTCCGGATAAGGTTAAATAGAGCGAATCTTTCCTTCCATGCTTGCATCACGTAGTAAATCCCAAATTAGTAACACATATTTATAGTTGCGTCTAGGCACAAGTACTATTTTGAGGTACTACTTTTTGTTTCTTTACTACGAAAAGAATTTCTATCTTCCATTTTAGAAATTTTATCGGCTTTATTTCTTTTATATTCTATATGGAGAAAAGATTATAAATTATGGATAAATTGGCTATTTATTAGGATTTTGTTAATCCATTTTCTTTTATAAAAAAAATCGATGTTAGTACATTTTTCAGAGATTCTAGAGTAGAAATGAAAGGTTTCATTAGATAATGGCGGTCTTCCTCAAGCAGACACTGAAGGACATAAGTTACCTCTTCCAGTGTTATATAAATCGCTGAGCAGCCAGTAACCGAGTGTATTTTTATCTCATTAGTAAGAGAATGAAGTAATTCAGAATTACTACTACCGTTGTCGTTGTGGTTATTTTACAGGGATGTCGAGGATTTATTTGCTATTGTCATCTCTATTTTTATATTTAGTTTTTACAGTAAATTTCTTACGATATTTTACGTTTGTTTTGGTGGCTGGGGATATCTTTATGACAACAGTAGAGGCTTTTAGTTATTACATACCCTGTCTTTCAAACTTATTAAGCTTTTTGTTGTTTATTTTTATTTCAAGATTTGTGGCTTAATTAGCGGGCTAGGCTGGGCTCTCTATCCTTGGGTAGTAAGCAATCTGTGAAGAAAAATCTTAGTCGAAGCAACGGGAAACCATTCAACTCTTTCCAAAAAATTCATAGCAATTCATAGATAACAAAAGAAAAGAACCTTTGGAGATTCATAGTCGCTTACGTTATGAAGGAACAGGTTATTAAAATAAATTCAAGTGGTTTCTCGTACATATACTTGAATAAATGATTGTAACAGTTAAGAATTAGCATAGGTACAACCATTTTCAGATTATCAAAAAATAGATTCAGGTCTTGTATTTGGAAAACCATTTACATCAAAAACCATAGTCCTTATTTGAGTATAAATCCTTACTTTGTCTAGTTTTATTCTGATAATTCTGTATAGTACAACAATCCTGCAATGAATATCGGATACTGACTATCGTGATCGAATGAGCGATAGTTTTTTTTTCATTAAACAATCTGACACCTTCATGTCTCGCTCTTCACTGAGGGTCGTTGGTGTTATCAGTTTCCGAAAATATAAGCACGATGGCGATTATCTGAACAGTAATAAATCTACTTGATGTTGTATATTGGTAATAAACACACGTACACTAAACATGCACACATATTTAGTCAGTTTCTTTATAAAATAAAGGATCTTTTCAAGATTAGCGATACCAACATTTCCATGTCAAGAACAGCAAACACAATTATCCCCATGTCAAGAATAGCAAACCATTGAGAAAATATGTTCTATTTATTAAAAGCAATGTCGGAAATATGAATGTACTCGTTTATTGATAAATGAACAATTAAAAAAACATTATTCACTTTCCATGAAAAAAAAAAAGTTAAAATAACTTAGCTGTCGAAAAGATATTGTATGATGATTGCATTACAGAATCCCAATAACCTGTTAACCGTATTTCGTTTCATCAACACGAACTGATTTAAATAACATAGCAAATTTGTAAAAATCCACTATTGTCTGGCGGGATTTACAACACGAGAAGTTTCCTGTTCCCCCATTTCATTAGACCAACAAATATATGAATATGAATCCAGTGCTGGAATTTCACTTTTGATTTAACAAGAAATGAGTTTAGAGGGTTGTTGGATATCTGAATTAAAAAATCAAAACCAGTATATGAAAACAGCTATTGAACCTTAAAGTTACTTGTACCAAAATAATCATGTCTTGATCAGCGAACCCGATTATTCCCACGTAAAAAAAAAATAACAAACCCAATCATCTTCTTGTAAAGAAAGGCAAACCCTACCTGTTCACTAATCTTGACACTATTCAAAATAATTTCTAATCAGGTGTAAATCTCAAATATGAAGGGAGGTGATATCTTCTATTATGATAATCAAATTTTAATCGTCAAAGTTGGACATCAAATTAAACATTGTACCGTCTCGATAGTAAATACGCGTCTCATTTCAAGGCAATTTCTGCTTTGTCTACACAGACTTAATTTCCTGTCATGGTTGCCGAAACATTTTTCGATATCACATCTCTTCGTCTTTCTTTCAACATCCAATATTTTCTCCTCCACCTTATTTCACTACTACTACTCTTCTTCCTCATCCTCCTCCTCCTCCTCCTCCTCCTCCTCTTATTTTTCCTACATAATCTCTATAATATCTCTCCTCCTTCTTCTCCTCCTCGTATTGCTTCCTACATAATCTCTATATTATCTCTCCTCCTCCTCCTCCTCCTCGTATTACTTCCTACATAATCTCTATATTATCTCTGCTCCTCCAGCTCCTCCTCATCCTCCTCGTATTACTTCCTACATAATCTCTATATTATCTCTCCTCTTCCTCCTCGTATTACTTCCCTACATAATCTCTATTATCTCTCCTCTTCCTCCTCGTATTACTTCCCTACATAATCTCTATATTATCTCTCCTCCTCCACCTCCTCCTCATCCTCCTCGTATTACTTCCTACATAATCTCTATATTATCTCTCCTCCTCGTATTACTTCCTACATAATCTCTATATTATCTCTCCTTCTCCTCCTCCTCGTATTACTTCCTACATAATCTCTATATTATCTCTCCTCCTCCTCCTCCTCCTCGTATTACTTCCTACATAATCTCTATATTATCTCTGCTCCTCCAGCTCCTCCTCATCCTCCCTCGTATTACTTCCTACATAATCTCTATATTATCTCCTCTTCCTCCTCGTATTACTTCCTACATAATCTCTATATTATCTCTCCTCTTCCTCCTCGTATTACTTCCTACATAATCTCTATATTATCTCTCTCCTCCACCTCCTCCTCATCCTCCTCGTATTACTTCCTACATAATCTCTATATTATCTCTCCTCCTCGTATTACTTCCTACATAATCTCTATATTATCTCTCCTTCTCCTCCTCCTCGTATTACTTCCTACATAATCTCTATATTATCTCCTCCTCCTCCTCCTCGTATTACTTCCTACATAATCTCTATATTATCTCTGCTCCTCCAGCTCCTCCTCATCCTCCTCGTATTACTTCCTACATAATCTCTATATTATCTCTCCTCTTCCTCCTCGTATTACTTCCTACATAATCTCTATATTATCTCTCCTCTTCCTCCTCGTATTACTTCCCTACATAATCTCTATATTATCTCTCCTCCTCCACCTCCTCCTCATCCTCCTCCTGTTACTTCCTACATAATCTCTATATTATCTCTCCTCCTCGTATTACTTCCTACATAATCTCTATATTATCTCTCCTTCTCCTCCTCCTCGTATTACTTCCTACATAATCTCTATATTATCTCTCCTCCTCCTCCCCTCCTCCTCGTATTACTTCCTACATAATCTCTATATTATCTCTGCTCCTCCAGCTCCTCCTCATCCTCCTCGTATTACTTCCTACATAATCTCTATATTATCTCTCCTCTTCCTCCTCGTATTACTTCCTACATAATCTCTATATTATCTCTCCTCTTCCTCCTCGTATTACTTCCTACATAATCTCTATATTATCTCTCCTCCTCCACCTCCTCCTCATCCTCCTCGTATTACTTCCTACATAATCTCTATATTATCTCTCCTCCTCGTATTACTTCCTACATAATCTCTATATTATCTCTCCTTCTCCTCCTCCTCGTATTACTTCCTACATAATCTCTATATTATCTCTCCTCCTCCTCCTCCTCCTCGTATTACTTCCTACATAATCTCTATATTATCTCTGCTCCTCCAGCTCCTCCTCATCCTCCTCGTATTACTTCCTACATAATCTCTATATTATCTCTCCTCTTCCTCCTCGTATTACTTCCTACATAATCTCTATATTATCTCTCCTCTTCCTCCTCGTATTACTTCCTACATAATCTCTATATTATCTCTCCTCCTCCACCTCCTCCTCATCCTCCTCGTATTACTTCCTACATAATCTCTATATTATCTCTCCTCCTCGTATTACTTCCTACATAATCTCTATATTATCTCTCCTTCTCCTCCTCCTCGTATTACTTCCTACATAATCTCTATATTATCTCTCCTCCTCCTCCTCGTATTACTTCCTACATAATCTCTATATTATCTCTCCTCCTCGTATTACTTCCTACATAATCTCTATATTATCTCTCCTCCTCCTCCTCGTATTACCTCCTACATAATCTCTATATTATCTCTCCTCCTCCTCCTCCTTGTATTACTTCTTACATAATCTCTATATTATCTCTCCTCCTCCTCCTCGTATTACTTCCTACATAATCTCTATATTATCTCTCCTCCTCCTCCTGCTTCTCGTATTACTTCCTACATAATCTCTATATTATCTCTCCTCCTCCTCCTCGTATTACCTCCTACATAATCTCTATATTATCTCTCCTTCTCCTCCTCCTCGTATTACTTCCTACATAATCTCTATATTATCTCCCCTCCTCCTCGTATTACTTCCTACATAATCTCTATATTATCTCTCCTCCTCCTCCTCGTATTACTTCCTACATAATCTCTATATTATCTCCTCCTCCTCCTCCTCCTCCTCGTATTACTTCCTACATAATCTCTATATTATCTCTCCTCCTCCTCCTCGTATTACTTCCTACATAATCTCTATATTATCTCTCCTCCTCCTCCTCCTCCTCGTATTTCCTCCTACATAATCTCTATATTATCTCCCTTCTCCTCCTCGTATTACTTCCTACATAATCTCTATATTATCTCTCCTCCTCCTCCTCCTCCTCCTATTTCCTCCCCTACATAATCTCTATATTATCTCTCTTCTCCTCCTCCTCGTATTACTTCCCTACATAATCTCTATATTATCTCCCCCCCTCCTCGTATTACTTCCTACATAATCTCTATATTATCTCTCCTCCTCCTCCTCGTATTACTTCCTACATAATCTCTATATTATCTCTCCTCCTCCTCCTCCTCCTCGTATTTCCTCCTACATAATCTCTATATTATCTCTCCTCCTCCTTCTCGTATTACTTCCTACATAATCTCTATATTATCTCTCCTCCTCCTCCTCCTCGTATTTCCTCCTACATAATCTCTATATTATCTCTCCTTCTCCTCCTCGTATTACTTCCTACATAATCTCTATATTATCTCTCCTCCTCCTCCTCCTCCTCGTATTTCCTCCTACATAATCTCTATCTTATCTCTCCTCCTCATACTCTTTTTGTTTCCACCAAATCTACTTTTCTTTTGCTCTTACTTTTTTCACTCGTCCCTCTTCTTTTTATATTCTTTCTTTTTTATTTTAAATATTTTATTTTTCGTAGCTTTATTGCAAATTTTTACTTTCATAATATTTTACTCCTACAATACTATTGGTGGCATTTGTCTTCACTAAAGATATTTTTTGAGATATTATTATAATAGATATTATTTAATCTACTTACAATACATTTACGTTCAAGTCTTATTCCCTTTCTAAATTTGTTAAATTGTTATTAATATTTTTCTATATAAATAGCCTGAAAAATGTTTATTCTTACTCTTGTGTTGCAATCTTAACATTTTCTTTTGATATTTTTCCTAATTATTTAAAAAATATACTTGAATTTTAGTCAGAGAAAATAGAGAATATATAACGCAGGCAAAAGAAATTAGTTTAAAATAACATGAAAAGTAATATCAGGAATTGCTATTCGTTGTCGGCGGTTGGCAAAAGGCAAACTCACAACCTACAAGTAATACAAAACTTTAAACAGGGACTAATTAGAACAATACTAACCAAGATCTTTTTTTTGACTCTAACCCTGCTTTCAATTTGATCACAGTAAGTTTTTAACCTAGTTCACTATGGCTTATCCAGATATAAAGTAGTTCTTACTTAAACATAAATTGTCATTTATGCAGAACTATTGAATTAAATATCTTAACGGTGAAATGCAAAATTATTTTTAACCTACATATAAAAATACGTGAGTGTCGAAAACTTGGCTCGACCAAGTACTAAGTTTTAAAAAAATCATGTTCGGTTATTTGGTCAAATTTTAGGAAGTTGGGCCAAGTTTTCAGAACTACCTCTTATGAGTTATGATCTTAATTTCTGTGGAGCGAAACAGCGAAATATGGAGCGAAATATTTGAACCGCCGTAGGAAATGCCAACCTTGAAATAAAACAGAAATTAGCTTAGCCTCTGTTGTCTATTAAACAAAATGTTTCCTTGTGTTATTTAGCACTCACGTCAACAACACATTCAGAGATTAAAATGCGTTATTTGAATAAAAGAAAATATACTGAATAATGAACGTCTAGCTCAGATAGAGGTTTTGAACGGCTAACAGCAGCCTCTTCCATTTTTGACATATTGGTACTAAGAAAAAAAAAGAAGCGTTCCTCTGCATCTTCTATATATTGCAACTTTTATTAAAATTTCATTATGCTTATCTACTCAGGCATGACAAAAACGAGAATCTCTTTTGCTTTAACATAAAATATTTACTTTTTAAGTTTCATGCGTTTGGTTTGTTTATCTGAAGCAATGAGAAACTTGTGTTGAAACAGTGATCACTATGGCTTTACTTCCGGCCGTCTGCTTTAAGTAAAGTGATGGTAAAAAAGAAATGTAGAAGTCAATAATAAAGAAAGTTATTTGATTTTCGCTTTTTCACTAAATTTTAAAGATGCATTAACCCACTAATCACTCGATGAATGTTATGATCCTTGTTTTTTTTTTTAATTATAAACTGTATTAAAATTTAATTAGCAAATATATTTCGCCATTTAATATCATTCATTTTACTAATTTACTTTTTGTATGAATGGTTCATTGTAATATAAATTAAACTGCACCATATATTTGATTTAAAAGAACTGATCCGACGTGCAAATTTTCGGGATAACAACTGAGACATTACTCTACTTATTGAACTTGATTGACAAACTCCTATAACAAAAAAAAAAATTCTTAAATTGCCATATTAATAAAAACCGCTCTCACTTAAATTTTATCTTTGCATTTTTATTGAGCTAAATCCTTTGAATCTGTTCAAGGTGATGTCATGCGTAAACGGTGCGGTCTAACTCGCATTAACTGTCATATGAAAAAACGCTTGTTCTTCAATGTAGAACAAGGAATAAAGGCAATTTTGAAATATGCCTAATAGAAATGAATAAGCAACAAAAGTCGTTAACAAATTTATTAATGTTTTTGTTTCCTCACATTAATGTTTTTGTTTCCTCATATTAGAAATGAACGTGACTTTCGTTGCTTATTTACATTTTGGAAAATTAAGAAATCAATAGAAGTGTCACATATCAAAAGGCTCATAAGCTCATAGCTCCCAAAAAGACATCATGGCTTCTAACAAATTGATGCTTTTAGTCAAATCCGGAACGCCAAACAATACAGACACAGCAGTATTGATTTTCCAAGCGTAGCTTAGATGTGGCACAAGGCCAAAAGTAGGGGGCACCCAGTGAGGATCGAAGTCACTACTCAGTTGTAATTGTTCTAGCGAGACAAGCTTGTTAACCATTACACCACGTCGAGGTGCCCATACACAGCAGAATTGTTATACTATCCTTTTGATTTTTTTTTTGAGAGTTGTGAAAAAAAATGTGCAAAAGTTTGACGTCTTCCCCAATAGTTGCCTACGAGTGATATACATCTACTAGTCTAACAAGATGTCTCAAGGATGACAGACATAATTATAGATATATCTATAATTATTTTGCTAGCGTCCATGTATGTAACGCCATGTAACTATCTCCCAGTAAAAATGTATCCTTTTGTTGTCATAATGAAGAATTAAAGATCATCAATGACATCTAAGTGAAAGAAAGAAAAAAGAATATCTAAAGGAAGAGTATAATCTGGGCGAAAAAAAAACGAATGACGGTAACTTTCATGTGTGGGGGGAGCTCAGATCCCATCCTTGTACTATTGTTAAAATTTTAAAGTAAAAATTTAATTTTCATTATAATAGATCAAAATATTAAATTTAATTTTTTTCAATATGAAATATTTTAAATCAATAAAATACATTTGTTTTCTTTTACTTTTTTTGTGAAACGCAACACTTTGACATAGTAAAAACTTTTATAGTTTAATAAAAGGAAAAGTGTGGGTGAGAGAGATGTGGGAAATGGAATCTTCATATCATCGGACGTCTCAGTTTGGCGCTGGATAAAGGAAACGGGAGAAGGTGGCGAAAAAGAGGATTTCAAATATTATTCTTAAGTTAATTAATGCCTTTTAGAATTGGGAAACTTATCAAATTGGAAAACTTATACAATGATGGAAAATGATCAAGATAACTCGAACGAGAGATTGGAAAGTGAAGCCATGCATGTCATTCGTTCTTTTTGAAAATATAAAGTTATTCAAGAGATGATTTAACTCAACCACTTAGAAATGCAAACATACGTGTCACTAAAGCTTTATATTGATAAGCTAGCCAATGCCCAGAAAAATTAACCACAATTATCAAGTCATGCGTGTCAGTGGTGGTGAACGTTCACGAATTGTTTTTTTTTTTATGTTGACACTCCTGGCGACTCG